CCCATATAAATTGGATGTCAATGGCGCCTATTTTCACCTAGGGCGCCTAGTTTCATCCAGACCGTCCTCCGGAGGCCATGCTGGATAAAAATTCATGCGAAAATGGCAGCAATTCCAAGATGTTTCCATAGATGAAAGATGAACATTTCGTTGAACAAGCTCACGCCTCATCCTGTCCACGTTTTGGTGATCATTGCAAGTGGATGAGAAGCGAATAGAACACACCGGCATGCATGTCGGTGCCTCCACCACTGTGAACCATCCACGCCGTCAACCCCGCACATCGAGAGCAGAACATCATCTCCAACGTCTGCTTAAGAACCTCTGCCCTTCTTGTCCGCCACGAACCACCTCCCCGAGCTTGATCCTCCGTACCAGCGCTACATCCCAACGCCACCCATCGCATAGGCCAAAGTCAATATCCGCATCAATAGCTGTGTGCTCCCATAGCTCCTTACAGCTTCCTCTACCCGCCCTCCCCCACCTCCCACACGCACGCGTCAAAGCATCCGCCTCCCAGGCGACGCCAATATAAACTTTAAGCACCCATCCTTCCAACCGCCAACCTGGATCTCGTACCGTTCTCCACCGCCGACGGTCAGCGTCGCCGCGACCATCATTCAGAAAGCCATAGCGAATGGGATCCCGATGATATCCAGTATCCATACAGCGCCGGCGGAACAAACTACGCCATGTCACAATCATCAGAAAGCACGTATTATGCCCCGCCAAAACGAGAACCAACGCCCCCAGTGGGTGATATGGATTACTGGGGGAATATGATTACGGAAGCGCAGCATCCCCCCCAGCCTATGCCGAAATTCAGGCGGTTGTTGTTGGCCATAGCAGAGCATATTGTAAGCACGCGCGATTGCTTGGTTGAAGTGGTTATGGACGTGAAATGAGAGCGACAGCTAATGATTCATGCCAGAAAAATGAAATAGAGCCCAAAGATGTGAAAGCCCTGACGCCTGTAAAGATGTCCTGCTTCTATAGAAGAGTAGGTGGAGATTTAGATGGTATCACTTCACATCTTTTTGTATTGGATTCTGACATCCGCTGACGTTGCTAGAGCTTTTCCTTGACATGCCGCCAGAACAGATTTCGGAAATCTACACAACGTTGGGTTGTACTCATAGTCTCGAGCCCGGCGAAGACGATTTCCACCCACCTGCAATCCCGGCCCTCACAGCCCGTGGGTTTGTGATCTGGCAGACGGTTCAACTACTTCTGGAGCCTTCAGAACATATTCCATATATCCGCACCGCAGTTACAGAACTCAAACTACGTGATCCAGACACCGGAGAGCTCTTTCCGAATGAGATACCAGAAGAAGCGTTTCCAACCCGGCCTTGTGAAGAAACACGTCGCTGGCACAGTGAAGTTTTTGAAAAGGCCTTCCTCGCAAAGCAAGAGAAACAACGGCAACAACAAGGTAAAACCGCACCACCACCCCCTGTTGATCCAGATGTTGGTAGCGCGGATCGTAACAAATGGTGGGAGGGCTCATATTACAAATCCCGTAACCATCGACGACGGAATCACACAAAAGCCTCCGGATATCAACACACAAGTTACCGTCGCTCAGCACCCGCGGATATATATACACAGGAACATGCCTATGTGTACACTGCTCATCCGTCGACATCAAAATCACGACATACAAGACATCCAACGCCGACCTCAACAGCGGATGCAACATTAGGGACCGATTCTGGTATCCCGCCCTCAAAACCCTACGTTACCATCTCATCCGACGAGGAAGATTTACGGGGGCGTCGTCACGAACCAGACGTAGAATACATCCCCCGTACCAGCGGCCACCGCCGAGAGCGAGAACGAGAAGGAAAATCCCACCGCTCAACCTCACGAACCCACAGCCACTCCAAACCGCGCGCTCCAAAGGCCTACTACGTCGTCAACGAGGCCGGAATCCCCATATACACAACTACGCACACGACCGACCAAAGCGGCAGTCGTCACCGCCACCGCCACCACCTCTCTGCCTCTCCTCCAACACAACTCCCTATCCCAAACCTCTACCATTCCCACTCATCAAGCTCTCATGTTCACGCCCCACCGAACCTCCACACCTTCGCCTCATACCCAGACTTAAACACCCACGCTCCCCCACCCCTTTGGACCAACACACCTGGCACAACCCTTAACCCCACCGCAGCCGCCGCAGCCGCCGGCATCAAAATCGAAGCCACCCAAATCCCGATCCCCGATCATTCCGAAGGGCCCGAATTCCACCGGCACCGCTCCAGCTCACCTCCACTAGGCGGCAAGAAATCCTATCCCCGTCCCACTCAAGGCCCTTATTCTGGTGCGGAGGGTTCGAGGAGGAGTTACCATTACTATGGCGGCGGGAGGGGGTATGGTGATGATCATGCCGCCGCGTACGACGAGTATGAGAGGAAGGAGAGACGCAGAGGGAGGAGTGAGAGTAGAGGGAAGAGACGGTATTATGCGAGTGATGACTCGGATTTTGAGAATTTGATGGCGGGGCTGGAGGCGGTTGAGGTGGGTGAGGGCTGGTCGTCGAGGAGGAGGAGGAAGGATGGGTGGGCGAGGGAGAGGCAGAGGGAGCCGAAGGCGTATTATCTGTGAGGCTATAACGGGGGAGCAGGTTTTAATGGCCGGGGGTGAAGGGGAGTTGCAGTTGGAGTTGAAGGCTTGAGGAGAGAATAAGCTGTGCGCTGGCTGTTTATGACAACAACCATATAACGATTTTGACGAAGTAACGATAACCGGTGTTTTTTTTTCTTATCTTTATTCGTTTTGATCTCCCCACTCTCCTCCGTTAATTCCTTTTTCTGGTGTTGACTTTACGAGCTGGATCTCTCTCGGACTGGATGGGATATCCAATCATCATGACGTTTACGACCTTCTTCAATTCTCGGTATCTTTCCTTTTTTTCTCTTTTTCGGTTATATTCTGCTTTGGGTAGTTAGTCGGGGTGCTTGTGTTGTGTTTCTTTTGATCCTCCTTTTTTTTTTTTTTGCTGGGTTTTGGATTTTCCATCTAGGATCATGGTTGGGATGTCGGTGGATTTCGGTGACTCTTATTTCTTCTTTTGATTTTGATTTTTGCCATCTGTGGCGGTTTGGAACACGACTCAATACCATGTACTGTGTACTGTAGTCTTTTGCACAATGCGTGTATTATCTTCTCCCGCCCTCTCCTAGGTTAGTCTAGACGTTCTCACGATCATGGTCACAGCCAGAGGCTGATTTGAATGCTGGAGATAACTCTACTTTGGTGTTAGCTGGAGAGATGTGTTGAATACAATCGGAGCGAGATCGATGCGATGCTTCGACGTTTAAATCTTCCGTATGTACTGATAGATGAAATATTTGATTTCCATGAATCCTCAACACATCATCATTATCAGCCTGGTATTTCTTTATCTGAAATCGCGAAAACGATAACCCAAACAGCACAACACGGTGATTGTTGCTACCTGTGTGCATGTGCTCTGAATCATTCGTTCTCACTCACTCCTCTCCACACGAACATGAAACACGTTCGAAACAAGATTGAATCTGATATAACTATGATGTCCTACAAACTCCCTTCAGCTGTTGAGAATTTGGGGAATCGAATCTAGCAGCCCAGGATGGAGTGTCACCACTGATACTGGACTAGTATCAATCTTTCCAAGCGAGAAAGTGTTCCACTAAATCACGAGCTTGATCGGCCGGATCCGTTATTGGTGTATGAGCACATTACAGTGGCGATACAGTCTTGAATCCGAAACCTACGAGCCACTACTACTACGTGCGTGTGTGAGTTCGACGATGCAAGTCTTCCATGGATTGCACATGGGATTGAGGCTCGATTTCTAGATATAAAAACACGACTCTGGTGGATGGTTGGGTGGTTGTGTTTAGCAAGCATCGAGTTCCCTTCATAGCTATCTTTATACCCTCAAGCAGATATCTCGCTGTTGCTGCTGGCCAGCGATTTTATTCTCCATTAGACTCTTTTACGACGACAAAGAAGAAGAAAGAAGAAGAAGGTTTTCGGTTTCAACAGCTATCAGACCCCAACAACAAGCTTGTCAAATACTTCATCGTCGCTTTCACCACTGCCGAGGCCGACTACTCCTGACTATCAACTTCTACATCAACTTGCCCATATCCCCAACCACAGTTCTCACACTCTCCGACCACAATGGCGCGCCTCACCTCCCTTTTCCTCATCCCCCGTAAGCTCCAATTCCCTGTATCAATTTCCCAGCGCTCACCCCCATCTAGTCCTCCTCGCGGTCCTCACGCACTCCAGCCCTCTCTCCTATCCCGCCCCTGGAAAAGCAAACTTCCAAACCCAAAGCATCTGCAACTCTCCCTCCTCCCCCTCCGACTCTGATTCCTCGAACAACTCCTCCAACACCGGTTCCACCGATTCCACCACCACCACCACCCCACCCCCCTTCACGAACCCCTCGGGTGCGGGCAACAACGCCGGCACACAATTCATAACCGGCGTCTGCCTCAGCGACCGTGACTGCGCGAGTGGATGCTGCGGCTTCAATACCGGCAAGTGTGCTGGGGCCATTATCGCATTGGAGAGAGATGGGGGGTGTGGGTTTGGGGATGGGGCGCCGAATGATGATGCTGCGAGATGGTTGAGGGGGCAGGCTTAATAGGTGAGGGGAAGTTTAAGGGTGGAGGAGTTTGGATGATGTCTGTGGAGGGAGAGAGGGTCAGGAGCAAATCTGGGTTCAATCGCTGGCGATTGTGCCTGAGGTTGTCGGGCAGATGTTGATAGACTAGTATAAAGATAAGATCCGAATGAAATACACAAGAATCAAAATCCCAAAACAAAAATCCACATTCTCACCACACCAATGTAGTGATGGTCGTCTCATGATCAGCTCACTACGCATCACTCGATCACGGGGCCACCAAAACAACATCCGGACATGTCCGACGCTACGATACCCCCTGTTCTCCACTTCACTCCACTCCCCACAACCATAAAAACAGAAGGTTTGGACGCACTGGGAATTGAACCCAGGACCTCATCCATGCTAAGGATGCGTGATACCCCTACACCATGCGCCCGATTGTGTCTGTGGTTGCGGATAACAATATGTGGAGCTGTGGTTTATGAGATTGGTTATGTTGGCATTGAAAAGCCTTAAGAAGCAGAATTATAGGCGAGGGGGAGGGCAAAGGCTGTAGAGTAGTTGACGTGCCATATCCCAAAGGGATGCACGCGCTTAAATGATATCAATCAATCAATCAATCATATTGGCATTGATATCAGCATGGGCATGGGTAAGGGTTGATTGAGTAGAGTATGCCGGTCATGCCAAACACTTTATAGGCCGGAGGACTGAGGCTCAGACACAGAGACCTCGCCTGCGCGTATCGGATGTTATTCGGTGACTTCCCATAACACATCCAGAATTACTTTACGCCCGAGTACGCTACTAACAGCTTGAACAGCATCCAGGATTTTGCCAGTAATGTACATTGACATGGGAACCGCAGTGCACGCGATATCCGTGCCTCCCAAAAACGCACACACTTCAAGCAGTACCGACACCACCACCTCAGCCAGCTAAGGCGCGGCCCGGTAGTTGTACATACGATATGCCATATCTATATACGTGCGGTGGTTTAGTGTTTACAGTAGTGTTGCTGTAAGGTACCCGTCGGGCGGCGTCGGTACCGGGCTAGTAGTTAGGCTGTGGTTATCACCGACACCCAACAAGCTAAGCTTGTGAATATGTTTCCCAGTTTCAGTTTCTCAACAGGAAACATTTCCTGCATGACCTGTTTACCCAGTACTAGTGCACCCAGATACCCTCCGCTCATATCATATGCAGTCCCAACCAGACCGACCAGACCGTCTCAATCACAATTCGACATCATCATTATCCCAGCTACCAGGTTGAGCACCGTCCCGCGCGGGAGGAGTAACGAACGATCAAACGAACGAACGGTCTCACCAGTTAGGTAATTACTCTGGCACACAACCGCCGTCACGGTCTCGGCCAGTCCCAACATCCATCCCACTGGCACCCATCCATTGCAACTCTTTCTTCGCCACCTAATAACTTCCGCACTGAAACCCCCAGCAAGCTCTTCCAGAACCACATACAATACCTTTCAATCCATGCCTTCTTCTCCTTCCACGCCAACCGCATCCCTAACCGCCTGGCCCCCATCCCCCTCCCCGATCGACAAACCGACCAACCCGTGCCAACTTCTCGGTCCCTGAGGCAGGAAGGTGGCTGCAGTGCGGTGCCTGGTACCCCATCCCAGGTATATACCTACTATACCCGAGGGCAGGGTAAATGGAACATGGAGCGATGGGACGGCGGGAAATGATCCATGGCGGTGGGATTCTGGGCTAAAATGGGGTTATATTATAGCGAATGCTGGTTTGTTTGGGAGGATAGAATGGCGGATTGAAACGTGAAACTTTTTGATTTGTTTTAATTACTCGAATCTACTTGCCGAGCCTGAGTCCGAGTCCGTGTGGAACTATGTTTAGCACTCTAGCCACTCCCCTCTACGTACTCTCCCCATGCTGCCCGCTTTCATACACTGAATACTAATCCTCCTCCCGGTGCCGCATCTAAGCTTCCGTCGCCGTCTTGTCGCCGTCGGAGATCCGCGAGGTAGGAAGCTAACTACCGGTACCTATTGGATAACCTAGGACACAATTGAATGGCTTGCTTGAGGTGGCTGAGACTTTCGTCGGGGTGCCGAGTCGAGTGACAGGGATTGTAAAACGGAGCCGCTTCTTGATGCCCTTTTGGTGTGCGTGGGTGGTCGAAGGCATCATAATTGTCATTGCCAGGATCACTACGGGCAATGATTGGAATGGGGTCTGGGGAATGATTGATTCATTCCACGAATAGTACTGTATGCGGCGGCGGGGAGTAATTCAAATGGATCATTACACACTACCAAACATGATGGCGTTGTAAAACCCGGGTAAACATATCCAATCGAGTTCAAGTTTTAGTTCCCATCCACTATGGAGTACTATGTTTGCGGATACCATCAACCCGAGCACGGCATCAATTCAATCCCCAGACACGAATCGCAATTCATTAGCCATTGCAGTGTTGCTAACCAATCATCTACCGTAATACTGTTCTGTCAGAGGGACTATGATAACCCCTTGAACTATAGCTGTCGATTTCCACCTTTAATTCCATCCATCTATCCATCCATCTGTCCAACCCTATTCAAGTTTCCAACTCAACTCCAAATCCCACCATTCCCTCTGCATGCTATAACCACCACCACCAATATCGCACATATCCATCCCACCCAGGTTATACCGAAAAAACGTAGTGTTAAAAAAAAAAAAAAAGTATCCAAGTAATTCTTCTGATAGGAAAAAACAGAAGAGAACAGAATAAAAGCATCAGAAGGTCGAAACTAGGGGTAATAGTAAGCGGTACCACTTTAAAAACAAGTAATAAAAGAGATATAAAAACCTAGCGCCGCGCCCAAGGACACAAAGAAAAAGAAAAGAAAAGTCAAGAAACAATGACGGGGTAAAAGAGTACAAAAAGATCAGTTACAAGTCAATGTACGCAACCAAACAAAAAAGCCGTACGCAACATAGCAAGTGCTCGATGTCAAACCGGATAGCAAAAAAGCCGAATAACCCAAAGACCCGAAAAAGGGAGGAGACCCCCGAAAAGACCCGAAACCGTACACAAAAGCACACAAAAGACAAAAACTTTTTTTTGTATGGCTCTTTCCATGCGTCAATCGTTCGAACTCCGTTGATTTCGTGGACGATGTTGAATAATGCAGGGCGAAGATCTAAAACGTCATGGCCACACAGCTTCCGCACCGCTGGTGATTACACCACTGGCATGCTGATTTGGCGTTCGGGGTCGTCTTCTGGCACGCGCAACACTGCCACTGTTTCATTGTTTCTGCGTCAGAACATTACAATTTCCCAAGATCGGAACAAAGAACAGCAGGTCGGAACAGAAAAGAAGAATGTTGGGAAACGAGCAGTAGCGTGTTTTGTGATGTGATGTGATGTGATATGAACAGAAGGCGGACGCAGGAAGCAGAGTGCACACTGAGGGCAACACAAAGGATTTCTGCTCCTTACACGTGCGTGTGTGTTTGATGCAGAAGCGGAATTCGGGGGGTGTGGTGCGGAGAGGCAGAGGGGATGGGGAAGGGGGAGGGGAGAAGGAGGGAGGAGAGGAGGAGGGAGGGGAGGAGGAGGGAGGGGAGGAGGAGGGGGGGAGCCTGGATGTTGCTGTTGCGGTGCTGTGATGTTGAGGCTGCTCCTGCTCCTGCCCCTGCTCCTGCACCACCGTTGCAGCCGTTACAGGTGGTGGTGGTGGTGATGGTGGTGGGGTCGGCTCCGGGAGCGGAGGATGAGTGGGTATGGATGTGGGTGTGGAGGGATGGATGATGATGGAACATGACATCGGCCGCAGCCAGACGACGACAAACCTTGTGTGTCGCATTTCCGCAGACACTCAACTTTTGTCGCGGGCCAACGGAGCAACATGATCATGTCCGACCGGTCTGCTGGAACACACAGGACAGGGGGAAGGGAAGGGAAAGAAATAAAAAAAATTAAGGGTGCGTGTGAGCATACCTGTGGAGTGGCATGGTCCACCGCTGTTTCCGTCGCCGTTGGGGCCACGGCCGCCACGGCGAACGCTGGGCTCGTGAGCATTCTCGTCTCTGTCATGGCGGACTGTTATGCGTCGTGATGGTGTTTATATGTATGTATGCGCGCGAGAGGACGAGATATAGACGGCTCAATTCGAGATGCTGCTGCTGCTGCTTCTGCTCCTGCTTCCTGCTGCTGTTGGTGGTGCTACTGTCGCTGCCGGTGGTGTTGCGGGTATACAGCCTTCGGACTCTCTCCGGTGCTTATTCTCTCACCGCCCTGGCCTAGTTCTTCCTCGGGTATGTAGCAACGGGGGGAGACGGGGGGATAGGGAGTGCGGTCGTGTGTCTGTCTCTCTCGGTCGGCCTTTCTGTCTGCGTCTTGCTCTCACGGCGGCGGTATTAGGAGCGTGCTTTTGTAGTATAACAGGTCCCTCTCTCGTTCCCGGACGTTGCTGGTGCTCCTGGACGCTCTGGGGGGGCGCTGTCTCCGAATTCGGATGGTTCTCGTGTCGCGCGCGGAAGCGATAGTTGGATGCGGATTGGAATGCTGTGATTGTGGTAGGGACCGGAAAAGCGTAAAGCTCGCAACGGGCAGTGGCAGGTACGGTTCCAACGGCGAGACACGAAAGGGCGTTCAATCAATCAAGTGTGTGCGATTCGGAGCGCGTCTGTGGCGATGAGTAGGTGTGTTGTTGATGCTGGTCGAGGAGGGTGGTGGTCAAAATTTATTGCAACGTTCCCAGGCCTTGTTCCAGAGTGACTTTGGACCTTTTTATACTCGGAAAATAGCTCCCCCTACTCGCCTGTCCACTCCCACCCCTTCAATTCAACACACCCTCGTGCTTCCAGCGTTTCGATATTGAGAAGGCGTGCTTTTCCCTGCCGATTTTTCGCTCTCCCGCAGACAACGGCGGGCGAACGAAATGCAAGGTTTAAGCAGACCAGCGCCGTGGTATAAGCCGGTCCGGTTCATTCAAAAAGTCGCATCTTGTTTATCACAGGTTGGCCCAGCGACCCTCGCCTTCGGCGCCTGTTCACACATCTGATGCCCGGCGATCGAAACATGCTTCGGCATCACCAACTGTGTGATATCCAACCCGGTTCTACTTGTTCGTCAGCTCTTACGGCCACCAAAATGCCCGAACAGCCCTTCTTCCCCTAGTCGTTCTACTTGAACAGTACCTGCAGCGGTAATATGCACCACCAGCGGCTGCGATCAGAAGAAGCGCACCTTAGCCAAGCCTAGGCTGCCTGACAAACGTCGGGCATGATGCTGAAGACCTGCGGAGTGTAAAGGGATCATGAGAGGATCATGGTGGTGGCGACACTGAGTATTTGTGGTCTCCTGGCCATCTGTTGACCATGAGATGGAGTAAACGTCCATGCTTGCTCTCTTCCACATGGTTTCTGCATCGTCAATTGCGCGACCCGGCGGTAAAACTAAT